AATTAGAAGAAAAGCTATTCAAACTAATAGGGCAGTTTGAGGAAGAAGATACTATCGAATTTAACCAATGGGTTACTACTGATAGATCAGATTTAGTTATACAGCTTGTAACCATACCAGATTATGTAAATATGGTGATGGAAAAACTAGTCAAGCTAACAACGCATTCATATATTTCTAAATGCCAATCTAAATATTTTAAAAATCTTAAAGAAGAACTGCCATCAGGTAGCGCAATAATTCTAGGAGATTTTGCAGAAAACTATAGTTTTGTTGTGCAGGATGAAGTACAAGGTTTCCATTGGAATAATCTTCAATGCACACTTCATCCAGTGGTTGTGTATTATAAAGAAAATCAAGTGTTGCATTCCACTTCATATTGGATTATATCAGATGATAACACTCATGATGTACCAATGGTTTACGAGGTACAAAAATCAATTATCAATAATCTGAAGCAAAAAATACCCAGCATTGTAAACGTGGTCTACTTTTCTGATGGCTGTTCATCTCAATATAAAAACTGCAAAAATATATTTAACCTATGTCAGCATAAATCAGACTTTGGAATAGATGCAAAATGGGTTTTCTTTGCAACCAGCCATGGAAAGCAACCTTGTGATGGTATAGGAGGAACAGTTAAACGGCTTGTAGCTAATGCTAGTTTGCAGAGAATTTCTACAAATCAAATATTAAACTCACGTGATATGTTTACATATTGCACTAACAACATCAAAGGTATAAACTTTATTTTTATTTCAAGTGAAAGTTTGATAGAAACAAGATTATTACAATCTGAACAATTTAAAAATGTAAAAACAATACCAGGAACAAGAGACTTTCATGAATTTATTCCTGTATGTCATAATAAAGTTAAGATGAAATACTGCAGTGATGACACTATCCCTATCTTGACCTACAAGTTTAAAAATTGCGAGATGCAAAGTGATGTGCAAAGTTGACATGGAATTTTAATTTATGCACCAACATGGCCTTGAATCTTAAAGACATTTTCTTGCTTCCTTTTATCAATTATTACTTCGAATCGACAGTTTGCTTATGTCTATGATATGTATATGACAATATTTTGCATTTATTAAAAAATATTACCAAATTTTGTTTTGTTTTACAGTCCAAAGAAAAACAAAGGAATATTTGAAGTTCAATAATTTGTATAAAAATTTATCAATTCATAAAAGCACAAACAATTCAAAGAGTTAATGCGTTTTGATATTTAAAGTTTATTTATGGACATGTCATGGATATTGCAGTTTTATACCTAAGTGAAAATGCCTCTTATTTTTTGACTAGCTTTGAGTAAAAACACCTGTTTTTAGTATTTAAATATTTTTAATTGAGTTTATTAAATATGCATATTGTAGTTTTACACATAAGTAAGAATTCTTACTTTCTGGTTGTGCCTAAACATAAGTACCAATCAAGCTTCTGTCTCAATCTCAATATACTTTCAATCAAAAATAAAAATTAAATTGTTTAGATTAGTAAGTCAAAAAACAGCTCAGTTTTTTGTTGTTTTTTCAGATGTTTATATATACTTTAAGATTATGAAGTTTGGAAATATATAGATCATAACCTTTTCTGTAATTCTTTTTATAGTAAGCATGTTTACTTTTCAATTTTATTAAAAACGCCGATTTACTCTTATTGACTTATTAATAAATAAATAAAAATATTATTTCTTGGTATAATTTTATAGTTTAGCATCTAATAATATGTGGAAAATTTCAAATTATAAAACAATATATTTAAGGAAACAACGTATGTATTAGCATTTACTTGTTACTAAGGACGTTGCTAGGGGAGCATCATGAGTAAAAATGTTACTAAGTTTTAAATTTTAAACGAGCATAACTTCTAAAATATTCCGATTTGTTTAAAACAACTTTGGGGAATTCTTTTTAGCCTAGTTAAGTATCTTTGTTGCAAAAATTAAGTCATTTAGAGATAGTGGGTTATTTTTTTGAATTTTTGTTGTTGTTTTGACACGGAATTACCCGTTCACCCCTCCTTCCAAACCGATGTCGCAAAACTTGCCCATAGGTGGGGTTTGAACCACAGACCTTACGTTTCTGAGGCAAGTGCGCTACCACTGCGCCACGGCTGCTTTATCACTCTAATAAATTTTATATATATATATATATATATATATATATATATATATATATATATATATATATATATATATATATATATATATATATATATATATATATATATATATATATATATATATATTATATATATATATATATATATATATATTAGGGTGGGATTTTTTCAACTTTTTTTTCAAAAAACTAGGCACAACCTCTAAATGTGTGCAAAATAATAAAATAACTCTAGGTTTAAAATATTTTCAATAAAAAATATTAAGGACCCGTTAAATGTTCAAGGATATTGGGGGACCCCTTAAAATATTATTTATTAAAAAATAGTGCATTATTTAAAGTTTTATATGATAATTTTAATGAATAAGTTGAAAAAATTATTTTTGTTCAAAATAATTATTATTTTTGAAATTTATATATATATATATATATATATATATATATATATATATATATATATATATATATATATATATATATATAACCATATTTTTGAACATTGTGCATTAATTTCAGGTGTGACTTCTTATCAATGGCTTTTGCGAAGTCGAAATAGAACACATCTACTTAAGTAATATTGTTTAGATGGCTTGTTATTTCATGGACTGTTTCAAGTAAATTGGTTATACTGGATTTAGAAGGAACAAAGCCATGATAACTTTTTATTAATGAGATCGTTTTGTCGAAGGTGATTTATCACAAAAAGATTTTTTAAAAAAGATAAAAACAAAAATGACAGAATAAAACTTCATAAAATGGTTTTAGCAACAAAAAGTTGTTGGAGTTTGGTGTTCTTAGTGACAAGACTTTGTGGTCTTCTTTGAGTTTCCGCATTCTTTATTTCTTTGTTCTTTATTTGTAATGATATATACATTTGTAATTTTTCTTGTGTATGTTAATATATACAGTATTGGACAAAACAAGTGCAACCAAATAATGCTAATTTAGTTTCTTTATATAAAAGTGCTGCATTTTTTCAATTTAGAGAAATAACTATGTAACTGTTTAGAGACAACGTTCTTCAAGTTTAATTTATCACAAAGTTCATTATTTGTACACGAAAATTAATAAATTAATCAAAAGTATTAAAAAAAAGTTGATTTCCTTCTAGACAAAACAAATGCAACTCCACAAAATGTTGACCAAGCTGTATTTCGCTATCAATATTTCGTGACGAATCCTTTGTTGTCGATCACATCCTTGCATCTTCGAGGCATAAATTCGATCATGTGATCAATGAAATTTTGTGGAATTGCTGCCTAGGCCTTTTGGATTTGTTCAAACAGTTGATCCTTATTACGAACACCTTCACGATTAATTCTGCGGTTGACGATCTCCCACAGGTTCTCGATAGGGTTGAGATCCGGAGATTGAGGCGGCCGATTCATCACCGATAGGTGGTTGTTTTAAAACCACTGCTTGACTACTTTTGCAGTGTGTTTCGGTTGTTGTCTTGCTGAAAAACCCATTTTATTGGCATATTCCATTCGGCATGAGGAAACAAAATATCTTTCAGGATACTTTTATACATGAAACGGTCGATCTATCGATTCAACGTATTGGACCTAGACCGTTAGCAGAAAAACACCCCCAGACCATTACATTGCCTTCACCATGCTTCACGGTCTTATGGCAGTAACGTAAACTGAGGCGTTTTCCGGCCGGTTGGTGTACACGGCAAATGCTATCGCCCTCAAAGATGTTGAACATCGATTCACCACTGAACTGAACAGCAAGCAGGAGTCTTTTTTCTGGTACTATAGTGAAATCAGCGGTTTCTTTGCAGGGCGTCGAAAAAACAATCCGGCTTCAACAGCACGTTATCTGATTGTTCGGTCCGATACAGGCAGCTCCAATTGCTTTTATTTCGCGACTGATAATATCTAGGGATCCTTTTTGACGGATCTGATGATTATAGAATCCTCTCTAGAAGTGGTGGAACGCGGTCTTCCACCTTTGTTATCTGCTGCCAACTTTCCCCGTAGAACGATATTTGGAACATAGTCTTGGTACGGTCCATTTTTTCACGCGATATTTATCACAAATACTTTTTTGTGACATTCCACTTACGTAATCGCCAATAATTTTCTTTCTTAGTTCCAATCCAAGACTGTCGGGAGCCACTTTTGAACTTGAAGTCATAAAAATAATAAAAATAAATAATCACGCTTCTCAAAGCTTACCGTGTTACATTCTGCATTACCTCTGCATGCTTCTGGAAACTTCTGGGTACTTCCTTTAATTATTAAAAAACTTCCGTGACGTTGACACGGACCAGACTTAAGAAAATGAAACAAACCGAAAAAATTGCACTTGTTTTGTCCGCTGCAAAATGGCACTTGTCAGCGAAATTCTGCCTGTGTGCTGTCACCTGTCAGCTGATTGCTCATGTCATGGCATGCTATGACTCCAGACTCCTGAACTGTTTGCTGTGGTAGTATTGTTCGTTTCATTTTTAAGGCATGTAAAATTAGGAACACTATTTAGCATTGTTCGATGTTGGTTGCAAATGTTTTGTCCAATACTGTAGATTATATTAAAAAAAAAGGTAAATAAACTATGACATTTTTGTAAATTTAATAAAATAATTTTGATATAAAAAACTTTTTCCTAATATTCTTTCTCAAACGTATTTTTTAGTATTTTTGCAGCTTCAATTACGAATTTTTCTTTGTTTGTTATACAACTTTTTTTAAGATTAGCCTAAGTAAAATGACCAGTGATTACTTTGCAAAAAAGTCGCGAATTTTATTTTATTTGTGAATCAGCATTTTTTGAGCAATTCAATCTAACGCACCATTAGAAATGCTTAGGGTGTTGGGGTTGGGTGTTGGGGTATAAATAGTGTGTATCACATAAAAATACTGACAATAAATAAAAACATTGAAAGTATTTAATGCTATAATAATTCAATACTATACATTGAACTAAATTGTAAATAAAAATTATTTTAAAAACTAAATCCGTTAATTTACTACTGTATAAAAATACATACATATTATATTTTCTTAATGTAAAAAGCTTTATTGATATAGATAAACAAACCAAATACAAAAGCTACAAAAAAAAACTATTCAAAAATCAGTGAATTTAATTTTTGAAGCAATAGGCGATATTTGATATTTTTTTTAAGAACTTTTCGCTATGCATTGTGGGATCGCCTGGGGAAAACAAAGTATAAAAATCAAATTTCACATTACAACTTTATGTAGCTTATGTTTAATGTAGTTCTTATTAATTATAACTTTTAAAATTTATTAATGGATTTAAAGACTATAAAAGTTTCGAAGAGCTATAACGGTTTTAGTAATTGAAATAAAGAAAAAGTATTGGAAAAAGTTATTTACGTTTGGAATATTCTAAATGTCTCAGGCAATACCAGAACTCATTGTGCGCTTAGCGATTATCATCTTAAAGTTATCAAACATCGTCTATTTTCACTAATTATTTTAAACAAATTTATATGATAAATATCAGTCAAACTATAGTATACATATACACACATGAATTATTAAATGTATATATTATTAAATACATATACATATATGTATTATCTTTTTAATGTAATACGTGCACTATTCAAATTTTACTTTCGACATAATTAGAGTAACAATCAAAGGACTTGATATAAGTAGAAGCCAGTTCATAACAAAACCTGAAATGAACCTATTAAAACAAAAAGAAATTACACTATACAATTAACATAACTTAATTGTGGCGCTATCAAGTTTGTATTAGATTATCTTTAAAGTTGTATGACCACTAGAGTGCAGTGAATATTTTTTTATCTTTGTAAAAATATATAATAGCGAGGAAATGTTGTCCACACATATTATAAGTAATGTGTAAAAGATCTTGAGGGTCCTCAGTAAGCTTTGAGTTATGGGGGTCGGCACGTAAAATTGGCATGTTTCCATTTTGTGCGATGTTTGAGCGGATGTACTATTGGATATACATGAGAGAACAATGTAGAATATGGTAGAATTGATCCTGGAGATTCTACAATTACTGACCAAAAGCCATTTCACTGAAAACTGCCGGAGGCATATTTAATCAAAGTAGGCATAAAATCAATAAAATAAGCCCATTTTGCTAAACTCGCATTTAGTAATACAATGTCATTATTCAAATGCTTTGTTGTTTAATCTTATTTGTTTCTCAAAGATACGAAACTAAATCTTCTGTTTAACATCAACTCTTATTTACATTATTATTTGAAAGAAAATTAATGAAATAATATTTAATTTTTAGTCCTAGCCAGAATAGTATTCTGGACATTCTAAATAATATTAAGAATAATATTCAGAATAGTTAGTAGTAATTTATCATTCACAAATAGTTTTTATAAAATAGAGTTATAGCTTGTATCAATGTGACTGTTGTATTTGGCTTTGGATTTGAATTAGATGTAAGTGAAATAAATGTTTGATGTACATTATTATAGTGTAATGTTTGTACATTGTAGACTGTACAAAAGAGTATCAGAATATCGCCAGTTATAAATAGTATAAAATGCTGACAGTGCGGAATACTAGAAAGATGGTGGCTTGTAGTGTTTTTGGTATGCCAAAGGATATGTCTGACATTCTTCTTCCGACTTATAAACATGTTATGCTCTGATCAAACATTAGATAAAACCAACAGCAACTACAAAAGAGCCGATTGTCTCGGATATATCGGAGAAAGTTGCTCACAACATTGAACGAATTTGGTTAAAATACTGGTTGTCTCGCATACTCGGATTTTACAGATGATTCGCTCGTATTACGACAAATTCATGAATCTAATGGAAAACATATTAGCCAGTTGTGTTATTTTATAAAATTGAGGTGGTTCTGCCAATCATTATTTTAACAAATCTCAGCACCGATCAACAATATTTGTGGGAGATGTGTGAAGCCGTATCGAAGGGAGAATGTGTGAAGAAAGCCTGGAGCTTTAAATCATTCACGGTGGCTTACCACAGCCAATAGGGTGTTACGTCTGCATGTTGCTAGTAAAGAGCTTTTGATCAAACTTAAACATTTGGTCACATATATCGTAAAGGTTTATGCTCCACTTTGGTTCAGCATTAAAATGCATCCATCATGTAAAGATGGTGCGAGACATCTTTTTCGCCCAAATGAGTTATCGCGTTACCTAACTCAAGAATTGCTAGACATTATAGACCCTATACTGCAACGTAATGGGTAATTCGGACACCCTGAAATGTGTTGTTGTCAATGATCAGCGGTAAAAGAAACAACATCCGCGAGTTAGGCATGTGTCGAATTCTCAAGGCACGACTGTAAAAATTGTCTACTCTTCACCAGTTCAGGGTTCCGAAGGTGAACTTTGATGCTGTTGAATATTTTGATCTCATTGAAGATACAGCAGTAACAGAATCACCCTTGACAATGAACGTAATAGAAGCTGATATTTGATTATTTGTAGCTACTCATGGAGACTCCACTGAGTTTTATAGATATCTGTGTCACGCTGAATCAGTTGAACGGTGGGTAAAGATTGTTACGGAGGCATCGGCTCCATAACAATCGGCTCGCGATGATTTTATAAAATCCCGTTTATAGGCTCGCAGCATAATGCTAGTTTTTAATACTAAGGCGAACTATCGCGTCTCTCGATAGACCTAACTACTAGTAGGTGATATGACCCAGTGTGATTTATACGAGTCAACACGAGGTTATTTCTAAATTAACTAAAAATTGTAGATTATTTGTTGAAATCATCAGACTCATTCTGCTAAAATATTGTTCTAAACATTCATTTTAACTGGTATGAGATACAATAAGATTACAAAACAAATAAGATTAAGCAATTAACATTAAACAAACATGTTACAGTACTAAATGCAAAATCGATCAATTTTATTGATTTTATGCCTTCTTTGATGAATTATGCCTCGGACAGTTTTTATTGAAATGGCTTTTTATATGTATTTGTAGACTCTTCAGAATCAATTCAACCATATCCTCGATTATTATTTGGATGTCTCATGTACTGTCAACAGTACACCCACTCAAACATCGCACAAAAACAAACATGCGAATTTTACGTGCCGACCCCGCCAACTCAAAGCTTACTGAGGACCCTCAAGATCTACCACAATAACACTGAAACTTTTACACATTACTTATAATATATCAAGACAACTTTCTCTCACATTATATAATTTTACTAAGACTTTTTTTTTTCTTCATTGCAAAACGCTGCAACCTAATGACCACCCCTCTCCCAATACACCATTTAGCGTCATTGAAAAATCAGAGGTTGAATGTAAATAAAAGTTTCTTATTTAAAGTATTTTATAATAAATTACTCTTGAATGACTCTAAACATTACAAATAATTTTCTACTTTTGACAGCAGTTAAATTTTATTTTATAAAAAGACTTGCGCAAGATTAATAGTCTAAAGTAAAATACTAAAAATCTAACTGGTAAGACAAATCTGCTAATTTATAAATCTACTACATACCAATACACTATGGTGGTAAAAGACTCAGATATCAAAAAATTTAAATTTTTTTATTCATCAATTTTTTTTTAAAGACAATAAACTTTAGAGGCTAAAAATTTTGCATTGATTCATGTACATATATGTGTTCACACATAAATGCGTTCATTGTGATTCATGTTTATAATTTTTGCTGTAAAACTGATCAAATAAAAAAAAAAAAATTATAGTATTTCCTTCTTTAAAAACTACCAACGTTACCTACGTTGTGTTTATTGGCTAAGTAAAAACTTCTCATCAATGTATCTGCTCACTTTCAATTCCTCGCCCCTTTATTATAAAGGGGCGAGGAATTGATAAATTTAAAAGGGGAATTATAAAAGAAAGAGGAAGTGTTATAAGTTTATTTTGGTCATAAAGTGTTTATAAGCTTATTTTGATTATAAAGTTTATAATCAAAATAAGTTTACAACACTTTATGACCAAAATAAATTTATAACACTTTATACCTCGATTTAGTGATATGCTTAGGATATAATAAATTACAACTTGATAATGCTTATTTATTCAGAATATAGATGTATATAATTAAAAATGTTTCAGCAGTAAAACTCGCTAATCGAGTCCCATCCTACCCTACTTTAAAAATTTTCAGAAAATAACTCGTAAACAAAACTAATCAATGTATACTCACAACATTATCAACAAATTGAGATCGAGATGTCCTTATCTTCCTTATAGTTTGAAAAACATCAACAGCTTGTTCGAGCTGCAAATATTGTAAAATAATGGAGCATGCCAAAAAAGTTCCGCATCGCGATGCTCCGTCACTGTTAAATTCAAAAGAAATTTATATATATATATATATATACATATATATATATATATATATATATATATATATATATATATATATATATATATATATATATATATATATATATATATATATATATATATATATATATATATATATATATATATATATATATATATATATATATATATATATATATATATATATATATATATATATATATATATATATATATATATATACATATATATATATATATATATATATATATATATATATATATATATATATATATATATATATATATATATATATATATACTATATTCTTTAAAAGTCATTTCTTGTTAAACGATATGTTTATAAATATATAAATTGATTTCAATAAATAAGGCAGCGTATAATTTTTTTATAAATATATTTTTATAAATCAATATATTAAAGATATTTCGCTGACCTGTCAGCGTCATCAGGTAATGAAAAAAACATTACAAAATAATATAAAACCAACCGTTTAAAAAAGAAGATATTAAAAAGCGTAAAATATAAAAACCAATCAAATAATATAATAGTGACATCAGTTTAATTTTTGTCAAAAATGGTCCCCAATATTTTGTTTTCACATTATCCCCGTCATCTCTATTTAGAACAGTTTGCCCAATACCTATCTCACGTCGAACTCTTGCTTTATTTATCTTCAAGGATTCTCTAATTTTACTTATCTTGTATTCTGGAATGACTGCCTCGGTCTTAGGATTCAGCCAATCATACCACGGCATGTTTTGAGTGAGTTTATTGGGTCCAATATGGGATAACCATGAAAAGTTCTATATAGGTCAAAGAAAATAAAAATAAATACAATTTTATTGGGCCCAATATGGGGTAACCATAAAAAGTTCTATATGGGTCATAGTAAATAAAAGAAAATAGGACTTTGTTGGGTCCAATATTGGCAAACCATCAAAACCTTCTAAAGAAAAATAAAAACATAGGAGTTTGTTGGGTCCAATATGGGCTAACTATATAGGCTAGCCCACATAGGACCCATTGATAAACCGCGGACAAACGGTTTATGGGTATTAGATAGGCTTCATACATAGGGTCCTTAAAACAGCCCGCATGGGTCCGATATATGACCCATGTACTGTTGCTAACTGGGTAACTACTTTGCAAGTAGTTACCCAGTTAGCAATAGTACATGGTCATATGCAAGTAGTTACTCAAAAACTGCATCTGTCAAACCAATCCATAAAAAGGACTCAAAACTTGACTGCAATAACTATAGACCAATATCATTATTATCAAATATCAGCTAAATTCTTGAAAAATTAATGCATTCTTGTATCTACCACTTTCTTGATAATTCTAAGAGTCTCTATGGCCGCCAGTTTGGATTTTGTTTAAAACACTCTACTTCCCATGCACTTATTAGTATTACTGAAATGATTCGTGGTGTGATTGATAGTGGTTCTATTGCTATTGGTGTCTTTATTGATCTCCAAAAAGCATTTGATACAGTTGACCATAAGATTTTAATTAAATGTTGTATCACTATGGTATGCAGGGTATCACTAGTGATTGGTTTACATCCTATATTAACAATCGTATTCAGTTTGTCTCGATTAACGGTTTTAATCCACAGGTAAAGTTATTAAGTATGGTGTCCCACAGGGTTCTGTTCTAGGACCTTTACTGTTTTTAATATATATTAATAATCTGCTCACTCTATAAATAATTCGATTATTCATCTTTTTGCTAACGACACTAATCTTCTATGCATAAATAAATCACTTGCGCAGCTTTGTAAAAAAGTTAATTCAGATCTCCATCATTTGTGTAATTGGTCAAATAGTAACTGTCTTTCCCTAAATATCAATAAAAAAGATTGATAGTAATAATGTAAAAATTAGAATTAATGGTAAAAGACTTTTCCCATCTAAATGTATAAAATACCTATTTCTTGACAAAAACATATTATGGTACTATCAACTAATTCAATTAAATAAAAAACTCTCATGTGCCAATAGTATGCTGTCATTAATACGACACTATGTTCCCCAACATGTTCTAATATCAATTTACTATTCCTTGTTCTCCTCACATCTAAGTTATCGTTGTACTGTTTGGTGTCAAAAAGGTAGTTTTCTATTACATCGTATAAACAGTTTACAACGCATTTCCTTAAGTATTATGACATTTTCTTCTTTATATCGAAAATAGGTTTTCTGAATTAAAAATTCTAAAATTTCAAGATCTTGCAAAGCTTTATAATTGTCTCTTTGAGTTTGATTTTATTTAAAATAAACTGACAAATTCGTTCAATAATTTTGTTATTAAAACAACTGACACACACGAATATTACACTCAAAATACTGAAAATTTTAACTTGCACACTTCCTTTTTCAACATTATCAAATATGATAAACTTTCTATAAAACATCAATGTATTTCTCACTGGAACCAAATAATCAATGTATTTCTCACTGGAACCAAATAATACCATTTATAAAAAAAAGATTTTAACTAAATACCCTTTTATTACCAACATTCTTCTTCTCAATCGAAACCAAATTAAGAAATTTTTATTTGAGTATATATTAAATAAATATTAATTTTATCTTTTATTATTATTGCCTTTTTTTATATTACTGTATTTATAAAACTATTATTACTTTTATTTTATACTGTCTTTTTTAACTCTACTAATATTACTATTATCATTAATTTACCTTTGTTTTATAAATCTTATTAATATTATTTATAATGATAGTGATTCCAATGTAGTAATAGTTTTATGGTCATTGTCCTAATTTTTGCAATTGTTATGTTTATTTTAATAATTTCTGTCATAGTTATAAACTTTTCTATAATTATATTTACCATACTTTTTATCATAAGTTATAATTTTTAGTAAAGTTATCATGATATAGTTACTATTTGCAATGTTTATTCACATTCTCATTAATATCAATATTATTTTTATTATACTATTATTGCAAATATCAATATTATCTTTATTTATTAGTACTTATTTTCCTTTCTTTCTTTTTTTTTCTCTTTATTTTATTGAAAATTTTTTCTATGTTTTATTTAGAGTTTTTTTTTTTTTTAAGGTGTCATTCCATTGACTAGTTTTTAACTATATGAGTGACACCTAACCTTATTTATGTGAATTGATAAAATATTATTGTAAATTTTCATATTTTATGGTTAAATAAATGGATTAAAAATATTAATCAATTTTAAACATTAGAGTTTGTTTAGGGTAAATCCTAATAAGGGATTGGTTAGGGCAAAATCAGGGCTAGCCCTTAGTCGACTTTAACAAAATTTTAAAACTTGGAAGACAAAAAATTTACGTAATGATTTTTGTAAATGCAGCGCATTTACAAAAAATTTTTATTATTAAACTAAAGCTTTTTGACAACTACCACGCCATGATATAATAAAAAAATAGTTTAATAAAAAAAATGAAATTTGTCAATGGTAAGCGTTTATTCTTATCCTTCCAGTTAAATTGGTATAGGTATCGATACTCTGTCTAATATCATTGTAACTGGTATGAATATCATAAATAAATGTATTTGTTTTAATAATTAGGTATGCAGAAATCCAAGTTTTACGGAACTGATATTGTGCTAAAATTCTGTGCCATGATTTTTGAAGTTTGTTTTTTGCCAGAGAGGTAGTAACGTCTTTTGTACTCTTTTTTTAAAGAATTTTGTATTAATTTAGACTTTTTGAAAACTAGAATATTTAGATAATTTAGATTAATGTTTTCGATTATACTGACAAAAGTTAGAAATGATTTTTTTAATATTGAAAATTTTGTTGTACTTCACTCATTCAACATTGAATGTGATTTTTTTTTTTTTTTTTAAACATCTTCACTTCCAACAAGGCTGCAAGCAACCACTAATTAGTGTTAGAAGTTACTGGAAGAGAAACGATAAAGATTGTAGATCAAGATAACGATTGACAGACGACTTAAAAGATTGCAAATTATATAAATCAGGAAAGCAAGATGAAGGAAGCAAATTTCAAAAAACTGATGTTCGAGGAAAAAAACTGGACAAATAAGAATTTTTGGAGCACTTAGGAACAGTCTCAGAAAAAGGATATAACTTAATTGAATGATGAGTAACACAAGAGTGAATTTTAGTAGATGGCTAGCTCTTTAGAGCAGTGCCCATTATAGAAAAGAGAAAGAGAAGCAACATTAAGGCGATGTGATAATGATTGAAGGTTGGCTGCAAGAGAAGTGTTTACAATGCGTTTTTGCATCTTGTCTAAAAGATAAAGGGCATCATTAGAAGATCCGCCTCAGATATAGCAACATAATTCCATATAAAGCCGGATTTGAGATTTATAGAGATAGAGAATAGAATCCAGAGTAAGAAAGTGTCCAGCTCGATAAAGAGATGCAACTTTTGCAGATGCTAATTTTGCAACGGATTTAATATATGGTTTTGAAGAAAGATCAGAAGTAAAACTTAATCCTAGAAGATGAAGGGTAGATGACTCATCAAGTACATTACCCTTCATAAATATAGGAAGGTCTAAGTTATTGCAATAACGATTAACAGAAAAAAATTTGTTTTATCTAAATTAAAGTTCACCAGCCACTGTGAGCCTGATGCTGTAGCAGAAATTTTAGAAGAGAAGGATTGAATAATCTTAAGGATGTTTCCAGATAAACCGTAAGTATTATCTGGAAACATCAATAGCTTAATAGATGATAGCTTATGGAGAAGACCAGCATGCCAAGCTTTATCAAACGCTTTAGAAATGTCAAAAGCCATGACCTTAACCTCTCCACCTTTATCTAATGCATGAGAAAATCGAAATCCATATTGATGATCAGAAAGTAAGTTATTAGATTCAAGATGAGAGATTAAGTGTTTGTTAATTAAAGACTCAAAAACCTTGCTTATAATAGGAAGAAGACTAATGGGATCGTAGTTTGACGAATCGGATTGCTCTCCAGAATTTTTAAAAATAATGATAGCAGATG